AACCACTATTAAGTCCATTTTTACTGACTTCTCTTTAATCATAAGGTCACACTCCCTCAATAACTCCCTAAACTCCATTATGTTCTCGGATGGTAACATTACTTCATAAATCTAACATTTTAGATTTCATACCTAATCTTCTTACCGAAGACCATAACATAAAAGAATGTGTTACTCCTAATATTAGTGTAGGTGCCAAATATCCAAACATGTTTGGATCGGTTTGAGTTATTGTATTATTGCATCATTTATTTTATTAATAATAAAAAAGTTTTTCTATTAATTCTTATGTCTTATATTTATTTATTGTATAGAATTAGATAGAAATCCATATTATATGCATTTTTATTAGTAATTGATTGAAAGATGTGAGGAAAATACTAATACACATAAATGATATCATTAAATGTCTTAGGTCATAGATTGTTAAGAATGGACATTGACTAGATGCAATTAAATGCATGAGCACTATGCTCATACTATATGATAGCAGTATGAGATCTCACACCTATTTGCATGATGATGGAAAGAAAACACTTAGGAGATTCATGTTATAGAACATATCACTTGGACTTGATTCGTCATGAGAACCCATTTGGTTTAGTCTATGAGAATCTCATACAAGATGGGTACAACTAGTTTTCGGACTTAAGGTCATCATGGTTATCTCATTGGAGGATTTATGTACTTTGACACTCATTTCGATGGACTTAGTAAAGTTTTGCATATGGAAAATTTGTTGGATGTACTAGGAATCTAATACGAGTAGGTGGATGAATAAGATAGGATATGTCATTCCTTATATGCTAAAAAATTATCACATTGCACTTCGATGAATGTCTACTCAAGAAGTTTATGGCCACGATAGCGAGTACACCAATAGGGAATAGTTGGTTTACTCTAAGAGCTAAGACATTTAGAAATCGATGAAAACTTGTGTGATCATGATCGAAAATAACTAATAAATAAGTTTGAGATCATAATATGATAAGTTGATGTGAGGATTGAATTGTATGATAACCATGCTCATGAAAGGTAATTATGGATTAATTAATCCTTCTAGAGAATTACGTAGTGATGATGTCTTACCGGAGGCCAATCTTGATTTATGCATCAAGAGATAAAAAAGTATCTTTTATTCTTGATAATTTGCTAACATATCTAGAAGCCTATAAAGTCACATGTATAAGTTAAAGCATTCACATGATTAACGAGAAGCAATGATGTTGGAAAGAGCTTTAAATTTTTGAAAAATTCCTGTTTTGAAAAAAGGTTTTCGAAAATGAAAAGTTAAAATGGAAGTTTCCAAGAAAGCTTTCCTAAAATGGAAAGTTTCTTATTTTAGAAATTAGTTTGCTAATTTGGAAGTTAGTTCCAAATTTGGAAGTAAATAACCTAAATGGAAATAAGTTTCCAAATTTAGGTTTAAGGTTAATTTAAGAAATTTTTTTCTAATGTGGGCCCCTTAAAATTACCTAAGTTAATTTATTCGGATAGTCCAAATTAATTATTTGGGTAAAAATAGTTTGAGGCTAATAGGTTTAATTAAAAGCCTAAAAGATATTTTGGCGAGGAGGATAAACATTAACCTTAGTGGATAAGGATAAACATTAACTTTGGAGCATTAGGAAGCAACAACCGTGACTTCAATTAGGACTAGTTTTTACCCCTCTTTGTCCTTAGAGGACAAGGAAGCCTATTCTATAAATATGTGAGAGAGAGGTGAAACAAAGGGTAATGAAAAAGGGAGAGAAAATGGCATAAAGAAAAAAAAGGAGCTAGGGGACACAACATGGGCTAAAATTAAGGAGAAAATTATTTTCTCCTATAACCTTAGCATGCACCATCTCCCTCTCTCTCTCTCTCTCTCTTTGGGTTGTCGAAAAGTTTCCCTAATTTGGGTTCTATGAAAACACACCGAGCAAGGTAAAAAAGATGGAGCTTGCACTCTATCAATTTTGAGTGCTTCTTTTGTGGTTGCTAGGACTCGAATAGATAATTTATAGAGGTTGAAAACTTGGATGGCTTTTTTTTTTTTTTTTTTAAGGTTTAAATCTACGCTATAGAAGGTAATTCTTTATTTAGAGCTTTAATTCATAAATATATGGTTAGATGACTCATTAGCATGATCTTGGGCCCTTTATATTGAGGAAATTTTTATTTTATTTAGCACCTCCATAGGATGCATGATCCTTCAATTAGTATTAGAGCCTCCATTAAATCTTTGATTGTATGCTTTATTAATTATGATTAACAAAATGAATTAGCTACTATCATTTATAAATCTAATGTTTTTTTATGTTTTAAATATATTTAAAACTAAAATTTGGGTTTAAGTTGAGTTAGGGCGCATGAGGCGGATGTTGGACGTTGGAGCTCAAGGTTCGTTGGTCGTGTACTAGGTGGACAATAGGCCGGGCTAGTCATGCACTAGGTGTCGAAAAGGCTAGGCTTGTTGGGCAGGTAGTCGCATACCTAAGTAGTCAAATACTAGGCTCATAACAAGCCGAGCCTCATCGGCCAAGTAGTGCATGCTAGGCACACAATAGGCTAAAAGCCCCGGTAAGCATCATGTTTTAGGCGAACGATAGGCATGGTGTGCCTTGTATATGCAAGGCCTTTTGACCAAAGCCAGTCAAGTGTAAAGAGTGTGTTGAGTCAAGCTTGCTAGGTAGGCTTGTCGTATGTTGGGCATGTGATAAAGGCGGGCATGTGCTAGATGCACGCCAAGGCTAAGGCTAGGCCACAATGTGTTTAAAAGGACTTGAGGCATGCCCCGGCCACATGCATGGCCAAAGCTTATGGCATGATAGGTTTACACACGAGACCATAGGACTAGGCTCTTGTTTGCTAGGCTATAGACCGAGTGCACATATGAGGCCATAGGGCTTGGCACTCGCATGCTCCGAGCCATAAGCTAGGTGCTCGCACATGTTAAGCCATTGGCCATGGGCAGGCCAAGTGCATGTGAATGTGCCAAGCATAAACCCAATGAGAGGCCAGCCACGTGCAAGCATGCCAAGTTGAAGGCTTAGGCATCGAAGCCCATGGGGCCCTTGGCTCTAAAGTGGGCCTAAGGCTCTTAAAGTCTTAAAATTGAAATTTAGAGAAATTTTGATAAATTTATAAAATGACCAAAATATAGATTTATAATTATGATTTGAATCAAATATATTTCATTAGTATGCATGTATTGATGTGATTGGAGCATGGGTGAATGATATGAATGAGTCGACCTAGTTTATGGGAATGAATGTTTGTAATTTTTTGGATACATAGAGCCTATGTATGATGTCTTCTCTATTACTCTATTATATTTTTCTTCTCGTCTTACTCCCCTCAAATGTAACTCAAGGTTTCTTATCAAAATAAATTTAAAGTAAAATATAGGAACTAGAATAGATTTAAGGAGAAGAAGTTAAAAAGTGAAGAAAAATCCCAAAAAATTTGTAATAAGTTTTCTCCAAGGTATTTGATCCATTAGTCTCTTTGTAGCTCGAGAGGGCTAGTATTAGAGATCTATTATCATTCATAGATCCTTGTGCCATGCATGAGATGTACGTATTTTATATTATGTGATTAATGTTAGTATGTATGTTAGGACTAATGTGATTATTGACTAGTATGGATGCTAAGATGAGATCGACCAAATTAAAATCCTTCAAATTAAATATCAAGTTAATTGCCTTCTAACATTATGAGGAGGGAACTCTCTCGATCGTTGTTGGCTTGTTGAGATAACCGAAGGTCACTTCTTCCTTAAGGGAAATAAATCATGGGACATGTAATGTCTTTAAACATTAGGTCTAACTTAAAATGAGTTGTTGGGTTTGTTGAGATGACTCAAGGCCCAATAAACTTATAGGTAAAGATTAGTATTCATATAAGATGTGATATGATAAAGAGTTATCATGCCAATGAGATTAGGAATTGCATTAGATGCAATTGCTAAGGAGTTACCTACCTAATCCTTCATGTATGACTTATTGAGATAACTCAAGATTAATACATGTTAGAGGATGAGATCCTAACCTACTAAAGAAGATGAATCAACAAGTTTTTTCGAGTCCTATATTTGAAGGTTATAGAACTTGAAGACAATAATGAGAGCGAACATAGATTTTACTTCTTTAATTTATGCTTTTGTTTTTACTTTATGCAATTTAATTAACCTAATTATACTTTTTTCTATCCTATCGGATTGCACAAATGACTAACAACACATCAATATGATCGATCATTGATGGAAGTAATGCCTTTAGTGGCATGAACTTCCTCGACTCAAAAATGAATCTACGGATAGTCCTCCAACATGAAACAATTCTTTACATGATAGAGAAACCTCTCCCAACTAAGCTTTCTTAAGATCAAGTCGAAGCTCATACAACATGGATCAAACATAGAGATGATACAATCACTACTCGGAGCATCATGGTTGTTACTATAACATTGGAACACAAGTGTCAACAAAAAGACACGTAAGCCATTGATATCATAGCAAAGCTTAAAAGCTTGTTTGAGGAGAATACTAGGCACGAGTATTATGAGATAGCGAGAAAGCTTTTTAGAGCTAGAATGGATAAGGAATCTAACATTGAAAACCACATCACTAAAATGATAGGCTCTGTCGATAGACTTGTCAAGCTTGAAGTTGGAATGGATGCTTAATTATCCATTGACCTAGTATTGCTATCGTTGACAAATAGCTTTGGACGAGTTTATAATGAACTTTAAGATGATGCACATGTAAAAGACTCTTAGAGAGTTGTTGTCCATGCTTAGGAAAGCTTAGCTCGAAATTAATAAGAAGAATAAAAGTTCTATTCTACTTATTAGTAAGGGAAAAGGCATGATAAAGAGCAAGAAAAAGCCCAAGAAAAAGAAGAAGAAGTCTTCAACTCGTACATACTAGAGGAGGGAAAAGGCCAAGGCTTAGAATAACCTAAAGGATGCGATCTGTTTTTGTTTTAACAAGAACTCCTATGAGTGATTGGTTTCGATTATTCCTTCGGATTAGATTTCGTGTTGCTTGGAAAATTTTCCAAATTCCTTGTTAACAAAGCATTGGCTAATTGCCCAACTTGCACCTCCAAGTTGTGAATATATGAAGAGTGGTTTTTAATAATTTGATCAAACTTCGCCTCTATTCTCTTTTGAGCCTCCTCTTGACTAGTCAACTTGCTCCTAATTGTGTCAATGAATTTATCCATCTTGGACTTAATAGAGAAAAGTTGATCTTGTTAAGGAGTTCATTGAAATTCGAATGGCATTTGGGGTCTAACCATGTTTCTCGCATTGTTGGACGAAGAAAAATTCAGGTGGTTTTTCTAACTTGGATTATATATATTATAGTAGGGATTATTTCCCACTCTTCCTTGTTGAACCCCAACAAAATTAACTTGCTCTTCACTTACTCCACCTCCCAAGAAACAATTTATAGCATGGTGCCCAACTTGACCACATAACTTATATGGATTTTGAATGGCGGCCACTTGACTTGAAGAACCCACTCTCATGTCATTTATTTGCTTTGAAAATTTAACTACTTCCACTTGCAATGTTGTCACTAGATCAAGGGAAAGAACTCCCTTTTGTTCTTTTATCGGTGTCCTAGTCCTCTCCATTACCCAAAAAGAATTATTAGTTGACATCTCCTCAAGAAGATCATATATGGCATCAACTCGTTTTTCTCATCAATGAACCAACTACTCGTCACATTAATGGTTCCTTTTGTAGTAGGATTGACTCCATTATAGAATGTTTGCAACAATCACTCCCTTGGAAAATTATGGTGGACAACTCCATTACAACTCCTTAAATTACTCTTAAGCTTTATATAAGGACTCCCCTTCGACTTATTGAAAAGTGGTAATCTCTTTGATAATCCTTGTCGTTTTTTGCACAAGGGAAATACATAGCTAGGAAGCTTGAGTCAATTGATCCTATGTGTTGATAGAACTTGGAGCCAATGAGTTTATCCATGCCTTAGCTCGATCCTTTAGAGTGAAAGGAAATAGGCGAAGCCTTATTGCATCGTCGGACACACCATTGTATATGAATGTGTCATAAATCGCCAAAAAGTTAGCGATGTGAGCATTTGGGTCTTCATTAGCCAACCCATAGAATTGCACAGCTGATTGAAGCATTTGGAGCAATGTCGATTTTATCTCAAAATTATTGGCATTAACCGACGGGTGTGTAATACTTTGTTGGTTTACGTTGAAACTCGGTCTCACATACTCTATTAGAGTTCTTTATTGGCCCACTTGATTCCCTTCTTCCTTTGCCACTTTGTCTCTTTCTTGATGGATTTCTCTTCTAAGTTCCCTCTCGTGTCTTGTAATTTTCAAAATGTATGCTACTAGTGGTTATTGTTACCTTTTCGATCTCCTCTTTGGCATACACCTAAAATCACGTCGAAGCTAGAGATTTAATCACAACAAAAATAAAATTGAATTCTTAAATCAAGCCAAACTAAATCAACACAAATGTTAAACATAATAGTCCCCGGCAACGATGCCAAAAACTTATTGGTTTCGCAAGGGCACAAATCACTCAAGTAGTATAAAAAGATATCGTTCCCATGGGGACTATGTTTTATCCACCAATTGACTTAGTTTTGATTTGTTTAAGACTAATAAGATAAAGAGGATATATATAAATTAAATAAGAATTCAATAACGAAATAAGGATTGAAATTATTAGAAACTTAAAAAAATTAATCAAGGTTTAATAGGCTAGGTATTAACACTATCCACATCCCCTATCGGTCTTTCTAATGGGTTCAATATGACTAAGGCTCTAGATATCCAATGGTGTTAGTTATTCTCTCTCAAGCAACAACTAAACTATTGACTTGAAGAAGCATGAGCAAAATTATAGTTTCTCAACTAATAACCCCAAACCCAAATCACTTCAATCAATTCTTTAAGCAATCCTTCAAGTAATTAATCAACAATCACAATCTCTCCTTAATTATCAATTAACTCGATGTTTACTAGTCTATTATGCCACAATTCTCATTGAAGCATAACACAAATCATCCAATTCAATTTATTAATTACGATTAGAGCATGACGAACAATAAACATCACAAAGATAAAATTAAACCCAAAAGATTAACATCAAAAGAATGTTGCAATAGTTAATCCATAATGAAAATTTAGCAATCCATCATCATGATTGACAATAACACATTAAAAACACTTAGAGTCATAAAATAAGAACAAATGATGAAAGAAAGAACTCTTGAATGTTGCTAAGAACTTCTTCTAATCTTCTTCCTTGATTCTTGGGCTCTTTTTCTTCTTCTTTTTTTTCTTGTTTTCTTTCTCCAAAAACCGTCTCCCTCTCTTTGTCTTATGGTTTTCTTTTATATTCGTTCAGCTTACCAAAAAGATGGCTCTTAAGTGACTTGCCATATTATCACGGTTTTGGTCGTGCAATGTTGCACGCTCATGCATGAATCAACTCCAGTTGCTTCTATTGCGACCACACAACGTTGCATGGTCATGCATTATGCGGTTAGTACAGACTTTTTTGTGATCCAAACTTTCTAAACCTATAATAATTACCATAAAAATAGAGTAATGACCCAACCCACTTTTTTAACATTTAAAACTTAAAATTAAACATTCTAATGATAATTAAAAACATAAAAGTAACTCCTAGGCACAATTATTATCATAAAAATACACTTAAAGACACATTAAAAGTACTCATATCACTTACATGGGTGAACATAGGCCTAAATACATCTTTATGTGTGAGGCCAAACTAACTAGTAGCATTTTCTTCCTTTCCAATGAAAAGGGGCTTCATGTCTCTTTGCCAAGTGAATAAGATTCTTTAGACATCATCAAATGATTCTAGATATCCATTTATATGTAGGTTGGATACTAGATTCTTTTTTATATGGCTAAGTTAACAATGTCATAAGTGTATGTTGTTTAGATTATTTGAGTCATTTAGCATTTATGTTATATACATGAGAGTTATGTTCCAAACATATAATTATTATCAAGATTTTCCATACATAAAAACTCATCTTTAAAAATAACTATTATCCTTAAAATTAACATCGTTTTCATAATAAGAAATGGAAATAACATTATTAGTCTCTACTAATACATTAATAATAATAGAGTCTTAGCATATACTCGCATGGTAGCCTACATGGTAGTGCTAGCTCATAAATGTCTATAATTAATGGTCCAACTCTTAATCCATGATTGTTGTGTAGGTCATCTTCCTTGAAGCTATATTCTTTCCTTTTTTAAGCTCCCGCACATTTCAAAAATGTGAGCACCACATATAGTATCATATACCTATGAGGTGGAATTTTGAAATAAGAAAATAAGCTTTAATAACATAAATACCCGAGGTGGTTGTAGAAATTTCCTTCTTCACCTCTTTTAGGTACTCGTTGTAGTTATGCTTCCAATGCTCTTTCTTGTTGCAATGAAAGTAGACCATATTCTTTGGGCTATTTCAAGCCTCGGTCTTTTTACACCTCGGTAGGTGCAGTATAAAGGTTCTTCTTCATGGGTTATTTATTACCCTTTACCATGCCTTTTTCCTTCTTAACATGAAGTACATAACTTTTATTATTTTTGTAATTTCGAGTTGAGCTTCCTTAAGCATGAAAAATAACTCTCTAAGAGTCTTTTACATATCATCATGTTAAAGTTCATGATGAACTATCCAAAGCTATTTGGCAACAATTGTAATACTAGGTTAATGGATAATTTAGCATCCATTCTAACATAAAGCTTGAGTAACCTATCGATATAGCTTATAATTTTAGTGACTTACTTTTTGATGTTAGATTCCTCATTCATTCTAAGTCTAAAGAGCTTTCTCACTCTTTCATAATGCTCATGTCTAGTATTCTCCTCAAACAAGCTTTTAAGCTTTACTATGATATCAAAGATCTTTGTGCCTTTATGTTAGTACTTATGCTCCAACATCATAGCAGGAAGCGTGATGTTATGAACAATGATTATATCATCTCTATATTTGATCCATGCTGTATAGCTTTAGGTTGATCTTGAGGAGGCTCGGCTAGGAGTGGTTTCACTATTGGATACGGAATTTTCTCATGTTAGAGGACTATCCTCGGATTCATTTTTTTAGTCAAGGAAGTTCATACCATTGAAGGCATTACTTCCACCAATGATTGATCATATCAATGTGTTGCCAGTCATACTATACAATCTAATAGTTTAGAAAAGCATACAATTTGGTGAATTAGATTACTTAATGTAAAACAAAGCATAAAATTGAAGAAGTAAAATCTATGCTTACTCCTACTATTTTCTTCAAGTTCTATAACGTTCATATATAAGATATGAGAACACTTTTTGATTTATGTTCCTTAATGGGTTAGGATCCTATCATCTAATATATATTAACATTGAGTTATCTCAACAAATCATACTTGAAGGGTGAGGTAGATAACTCCTTACCAATTGCATCCAATGGAATTTTTAATCTCATTGGCATGACAACTTCTTATCATATCACATCTTATATGAATACCAATCTTTGCGTATAAGTTTATTGGATCTTGAGCTATCTCAACAAACCAAACAATCATTTTAAGTTAGTCCCAACATTTGAGAACCTCGCATGTCCCATGATTTGTTTCCCTCGAGAAAGAAGTGACCTTGAGTTATCTCAACAAGCATACAATGACAAAGAGAGTTCCCTCATTGTAATGTTTAAAGGCATTTAACTTAATATTTAATTTTGAAGGATTTTAATTTGGTAGGTCTCATCCTAGCATGCATACTAGTCATTAATCTTATTAGCCCTAAGATGCATACTAACATTATAGCATAATATAAATTCATACATCTCATGTATAATACAAGGATCGATGAATGACAATGGATATCTAATACTAGCCCCCTCGAGCCATAAGGAGACCGATGGGTCGAGGACCTAGGTGAAAAACTCGTTATAAATTCTTTGAGATTTTTTTTCATTTCTTGACTTCCTTTCCTTACATCTAGTCTAATTCCTATCTTCTACTTTTATATTTAATTAAATAAGTAACCTTGAGTTACATTTAAGGGGAGTAAAATGAGAAGAGAAATACAATAGAGTAATAGAGAAGGTAAGACACCCAATGCTAATGTAGATGCCATAGATCTAACTATGTTTGGAGGAGTTTGAGTTATTGTATTATTGTATTATTGCATTACTTATATTATTTATAACAAAAGAAGTACT